AATAGCAAAGACTTGGAACCAACCCAAATGTCCATCAATGACATACTGGATTAAGAAAATGTGGCACATATACACCATGGAATACTATGCAGCCATATAAAAGGATGAATTCATGTCCTTTGTAGGGACATGGATGCAGCTGGAAACCATCATTCTCAGCAACTATTGCAAGAACAGAAAACCAAACACCGCATGTTCTCACTTACAGGTTGGAATTGAGCAATGAGAACACTTGGACACAGGAAGGGGAACATCACACACCGGGGCCTGTTGTGGGGTGGGGGGACAGGGGAGGGATAGCATTAGGAGATATACCTAATGTAAATGACGAGTTAACAGGTGCAGCACACTAACATGGCACATGTATACATATGTAACAAACCTGCACATTGTACACATGTACCCTAGAACATAAAGTATAATTAAAAAAAGAAAATTTATAAATTAGTCAAAATTGTGATTTTTTTTTTTTGAGACGGAGTCTTGCTCTGTTGCCCAGGCTGGAGTGCAGTGGCATGATCTCGGCTCACTGCAACCTCAGCCTCCTGGGCTTAAGCAATTCTCCTGCCTCAGCCTCCCAAGTAGCTGGGATTTCAGGCATGCACCACCATACCTGGCTAATTTTTGTATTTTTAGTAGAGACGGGTTTCACCATTTTGACTAGGCTGGTCTTGAACTCCTGAGCTCAAGTGATCCACTCACCTTGGCCTTCCAAAGTGCTGGGATTACAAGCATGAGCCACCGTACCCAGACAAAACTGCGATTTTTTAAAAAGAAAGATATTACCCCTTATATCCAGTTTAGACTAGATTATGGATAGTTTGTATTTATGCTGCTTGGATAATAACTGCACTATGGTAAGTGCTTAATAAATGTTTGTTGATAAATAAAGATAAAAAATTACACCAGCAAAACTTCACTGTTGTCCATAGTCAGGCTGAAATGCTCAGAAAGCATTGAGTGACTTCCCTAACATTTGTAAAAAAAAAAAAAAAAAAAAAAATCAAGGAAACAAAATTAAGAAAGAAATAAAAATGTATTTGGCAAAGGAAAGATTAAAAATGTGTTTAAAGTACTCTTCCCAGTAAAGTGTGCGTGCCCCCTCCACACACACAAACACACACACACACACAGATGGTCACTGCCTTTTAATAGATTTCCTGTGAAGTTTCAAAAGTAAAATTGCTTGAAACTTGAAAGTTGCTAAGAGTAGATTTTAATGTTCTCACCCTCCAAAAATATAAGTATGTTAGGTGATGGATATGCCAATTACCTTGATTTAATCATTTCACAATGTGTGTGCACATATATGTATATGCATATGTATATATGCATATATGTATTGCACATATATATACACACACTACATTATACACCATAAATATATGTAATTTGTATGTGTGAATTTTAAAACTTCCTTTTAAAAAGATGTGCTTCTCTGAGAGATGGGATTCTTAAGTTTCCAAGAAAAGAAAACATTACTAAAGAAATCATAACAGACTGTTAATTTTTAAATTTGCCTAAATGAATAAAAGATAAATAGTAATTAAGCTTGAACTGCGGTACTTATTTTTCCCTAGATCATTCTTAGGTGGTACATGATGCCCAGAGGAAGTAAGTGGATCAGCATCTTTCATTGACGTTATTAAAATTTTTCTATAGTTTGGATGCCTTTAATTTACTATTCCTAGAAGTAGACATAAATTAAGGAATATCTATTTTAAAAGAAAGAAACTTAGTCCTCTTTAAGGTCTCTTTATTCCAAAGCGTTCTCAAACAAATGTTAGCTGGACCTGTCTTGTCCCACAATCTTACCTTGCAAATGTAAGTGAGTTGTGTCAAAGGGATAATTTTCATCTTTCCTTATGAGGGGCCTGGGGAGGATGGAATTTGGATTTAGAAAGGAAGAACTAAGATGTATGTTCATTTGTGACTTTGAGTTTCTCCCTCATGTCTCTCTTTTCAAAAGTGTGAATTTCTTTGAGAAGTCATTAATTCTACCACCACTCCCCGCCATTCCTCCTACCTCTCAGAGGCCATAGATAGGGCTAAGTTGAGAATTCCATCAGCAAAGGCACAGAGCAGCTGGCCCTTTCCCTAAGACCCACCCTGCCGTATATTGGAATAGAACACAGTTTAAAGCTGTTCGTTAGAGAGTCACCAGGCATCAAAAACATCCCAAAACAAAAAATTAGCTTGAAATAGGTACCTAACTTTGACTGCAGAGTAACTGTTGGTCTAGAAAGGCTTTCCATCTCCAGCAGCACCCAAATACTGCTTCTGCCCACCTTCCCCAAATCTGTGAAGATAGATAAACTCTGTTTCCTTGGCCTAATAAAATAAATCAAGTTTGAGAGTGAAAAAGGAGGAAGCAGAAACTTTCCCAAACTTTCTGTTCCTAGAATGTCCTTGGGAAAGCCACGGAGGCAAGAGACTCTCTTTGAGGTCACTCTTGTGAAAAATAGCTACTAATTTCTCCGCGTGGAGTGCAGCCTGGAATTACACAACAGAGGTTTTGTGACTGTGAAATCCACTGTATTGCTCCAGGAATATAACCTCTAAGACAAGGCACCTCAGCCTGGGGCAAAGAGAGAGCGGAGCAGACTATCCATGCCTTCCAGAGTGGAGATTCTCAGCACTGAGGACAGCATGCACATTTGGTGCCTTTACTGAGGGCAGGGAAGTGGGTGGTAGGCCTGAAAGCCATTTTTTTTTTTTTTTGAGACAGAGTCTTGCTCTTGTTGCCCAGGCTGCAGTGCAGTGGCGCGATCTTGTCTCACTGAAAACTCTGCCTCCCAAGTTAAAGCAATTCTCCTGCTTCAGTCACCCAAGTAGCTGGTATGTACCATGACTCTTGGCTAATTTTTTGTATTTAGTAGAGATGGGGTTTCACCATGTTGGTCAGGCTGGTCTCGAACTCCTAACCTCAGGTGATCTACCTGCCTCAGCTTCCCAAAGTGCTGGGAGCCAACATGCCTGGCCGAAAGCCTGTGTTTTTATAGAACAAGAGTCGGGCATGGGAAGAGAATGAGTTAGTACAAAGACCCGTAAACAAGATTATGACAATTATTTTGCTTACAGTAAACTTTGAATAAATTTTGGCTGCATAAAGACCAAATGAAAAAAATGTGTCATTTATCTCCTTAATGACAATGTCCAATGTCTTATATTTTACACAGACAAAAATCAGGTACCATTAAAAAAAAAAAAAAAAAAAAAAGCAGTGCACTCCTACATGTTAACGATTTGGGATAGAGATAGAAAGACGTAGCATATTTCAGGAGACTGCTCTGGTCATCCCAATTCAAATGGCAGTTTTTCCATCAAGCTGAACCTACTTAAATAGACTCTTAATCTCCCCAAGTCTCAATTTGTTATCCGTAAGGTGGAGAAGATGCATGTCTATCTTATATGGTTGTCACGAAGATCAAATAACATATTGTGTATATGGAAGCCCTCAATCACTTCCAATATTATCTAACAACTTTAAATATTTATTATTCTTATTTAAAGGGCAAATGGGCTCTAATAAGAGTTGGTTATTATTACTCTGATCATCTTGATCCAGCAACATAATCCCAACTGACCACTCTCTCCAAAGAGATGACAACTGTAAAGAAGCTTCCAGTTGAGAAACGAATTTTAATTAAAGTACAATTTAAACCTTTTAACGCACACTGCACATGCACACACACACACATACATGTACACACATGTGCATGTGTTATGAACAATAAAATAATAAAATTTACATCAACTTGAAACTAAAACTATCTTGAAAATGGCAACTTTAGAGATTGAAATTGAAATTTCGCATTTGAAGCTTAAGGCAATAGACCTTCATTCATCCACCCTCATTTCTGACGTTGTTCTTCATTTTGCAACCTCCTTTCTCTCATGAAGCTGCAGCATTACCAGACTTGTAGATCATAACCTTCAAGAAGTCAGCATTTGCTTCACTGCTAAAGACATTTCTTGAAATGATCTGTCTCTGTGTCCCCAACCAAATCACATTTTGAATCCAAATTGTAACACCCACAAGTTGGGAGAGGGACCTCATGGAAGGTGATTAGATCATGGGGGTGGTTCCCCCATGCTGTTCTCATGATAGAGAGTGAGTTCTCATGAGATCTGATAGTTTTATAAGGGGATTTTCCCCGCTTTGCTCTGCACTTCTCTCTCCTTCCACCATGTGAAGAAGGACGTGTTTGTTTCCCCTTCTGTCATGATTGTTAATTTCCTGAGGCCTCCCCAACCATGTGGAACTGTGAGCCAATTAAATCTCTTTCCTTTATAAATTATCCATCTCGGGCAGTTCCTTTTAGCAGCGTGAGAACAGACTAAAACAATTCTTTCAGCTGGGGGTGTTGTGCAGTGCACGTTTTATGAAATAGTTAACGCTTTAACATAAACAACATTGATTTTAAAAAAAATCATGCTACAGACAGGTTGTTTTACTAAGGAACCAGCACAAGAAAGCATGACTTCACTTTGCTGCCCAATTTTAAGGTAATTTTGGAGAGTGAGATCTGGGAGGCTTTTTGTGTTTCCAGGAACAGGAAGTGGAGAACAATTTTTAACATAAAAGTCGCTGGCACTGTGGCCATTTCACCCTTTGAGCACATTGCAGCCTACAGAAAAAGTTAATTTAGAAGGCAGAATAAAAAATTCTTGCCGGGCGCGGTGGCTCAAGCCTGTAATCCCAGCACTTTGGGAGGCCGAGACGGGCGGATCACGAGGTCAGGAGATCGAGACCATCCTGGCTAACACGGTGAAAACCCATCTCTACTAAAAAATACAAAAAACTAGCCGGGCGAAGTGGCAGGCGCCTGTGGTCCCAGCTACTCGGGAGGCTGAGGCAGGAGAATGGCGTAAACCCGGGAGGCGGAGCTTGCAGTGAGCTGAGATCCAGCCACTGCACTCCAGCCTGGGCGACAGAGCCAGACTCAGTCTCAAAAAAAAAAAAAAAAAAAAAAAATTCTTGCAAAATAGGGTAAGACAAACCAGTCCCTCAAATATGAGGAAGTGATAAGAAAGCACCCTGTTGCTGCAGGAATATTGCTCCATCCCCACTCATTAAAGGATTGTAGAACAAAAGTTGCTAAAATCTGCCACCAGGTGTATAGTTTGACGAGGGGGAAAGATAATCCATTAATATACAAGGTTTTAAAACTCAATGTATTGCACTTTTCGGGCTTAATTCCACAAGTTTTTATTTGAAAATAAAATAAATGCTTTATTCGGGCTCAGTGAAAGACTAGACACATTAAAATGATTAATGCAAGGGCGATGCAGCAGAACCTCTATTGCTCCACCGTGTGTAGTTGATTTAGGATATTAGTCTTTTTGCCTAAGCACTGCTGGATTCCTCGACCTCTTTTTCTCTTCCTTTCCCAGGAACGCTCCAACCTGAAAGGGAGCGCCTTGCACGCATCAGTCCTGACTTAGAATCAGCTTAGTTGGAACCAGAAACACGCTGCATTAATCTCAAGAGATTCAACCCTCATCGTTCCACAAATTTAGTTTATATTTGATGAACTTAAAGTTGCATCCCGTCAACATACAGGTGGGGACGGTGGGTTTAAAACCAGTCCCATCCCCAGTTTGCCTCAGAATCCCCAAGGCCAGCATGACTGCTTGGAGATCAGGAGTGAAGCTGGGAATGACCATTTGGCTACTGCAGCCCTCACCTTGCGCTTTTCCGCATAGATTTGTTTTGTGGGGCAGGGGAGAGAACTGGGGCGGTGGTGGATAAATTCTGGGGGACCGGGGAAAAGAGAAAATGAGAGGTGTCCGAATAAAGTTTTCTAAGTCCTCAAAGAGAAATGGCACTGACGGAGAACCCGAAAAGAAACATTCAGATTCTCCCCAGCAGTGATTTGCGCTGCAAAGGGCGCAGAAACGCGGCTCTCAGGCCTTGCCTGCGAGTGGGTTAATTAGAACCAATCCAGGGTCTGCAGCCCCCGACTCCTCCCTGCGGTTTAGCAGAAGGTAGGCGGGCTGCCCCAGACCTTAAATACCCACGGGTCGACGCCGGCCAGAACCACGGACAGCTCCCGCCCTGTGGCCCTTGTGTCCTCCCTGCGCTGTGCCGTCTGCAGTTTCACCCGGAGGACGAGGAGTGTGGCTGCAGATCGGGTCGGCCTGCCCTTGCTCTGCTTCTTCCCCACCCACACTTGGTGGGTGTCTTCTAGGCTGCCCAGCCTTGAACTAAGCACCCCAAGAGGAGTTAGAGCCCGAGGGATGAGAAAGAGGCGCCCGATGAAGATCTAGGTCAGTTCCTCTCTGGGAGCTCAGCTACTGCGCCCGAGAGGCAGCGCTCAGACAGCGGCGAGGAGGCGGCCGCGGAGCCCCCGGAGGAGATCGGGGATGAAGGCCTGCTTTGAAAGTTTCCCACGTCGTTCAGGTACTACTTCATTTGAGAACTCTGTTTGCTCACGAATGAGAGAGAGACTAGAGACGTGTCAGAGGCCTCACTGTACAGTTGAACTGAGGTTTCCCAGCATAACAAATGCAGTCCTCATCCACTTTCCCCTCCCCATCCCTTCTCCACGCTCTTTCTAACTTGGTTCTTCACGGAAAGAGGTTGGCCAGATGTGAAATTCACTCATCCATCGCCCTTCCCCTTTTCCCAGCCACTGGGAGGTCTTCACACTCCCCACCTCCCTTTTTCCCAGACCTGCCAATCTTCAGGTCCCATGGAGAGAGATGAGAAGAAGGTTGGGTCTCCAGGGTCCAGATGGGTTGGGACCTGGGGGTTCTCTCCTAGTGGAAGGTGGAGAGGGAGTGTGAGATCCTTCTGCTTCCGGTTGGTCTTTCTACAGGCTTCTGTTTTAAGTGCAGGCGAGAGCTCAATGAAAAAGTCTGTTTCTCCAAGACTGAAGAAGCTTTTTGCAGGTGCAATCTTTGTTCAAAGAGTTGGACCTTTCTTTGTGTATGTGTGGGGAGGGGTGTGAGGGGATGAGTGGGGAATTCTGGGAAGCATATTTTAATACATTTGATCAATGGCTTCCAAGTGTTTTGTCTCTGTTAACCCCCAAAGGACTCAGGGCTAGTCCTAGAGAGAGTGGGAAGCTGGACCTAGGCAGTGGGGAGAAGATAGAGGAAGGTGGAAGGTGGCCACCAGGTTTTCTTCTTGGTTGGGCATTAGAATGGGAATGCAGACATGCTGTTGTCTTTAAGGATTCAGAATATAAATTACTGCTATTGGTTATGGGCATCTAACTAGAATCAGAAGCAGGAAGTGTTTGTAAAAGGGTGTCTGGAAATCTGAAAACTAAATATTCAGTTAGGCTTTACCTACTTAGTTGAAAAGAGAGAAAAACAACCACCTGATATCTTCAGGCCAGTGCTGCATGCTCTAAAAAGACACTATTTGGGGAGTACAAAAGAATACACCAACATGATCTCTGCAGCAGATGTTGCAATACAAGCCAAATGTCCACTAGTAAGAGATTGCTCAGAAAAGTATTATCTATGTAATAGAACATTGTTCAAGAGTTCAAAATGAAGTAAATCTATAAATAATGACCTAGGGATGTCTATGACGTATTTTTAAGCAAACATAAAGCATGAACACATTTCCATTTTTTGAAAAACGTTATTAATGGTGTATAGGTATGTACATGGCATATATGTATATTTGTATGATCACAGAGGATAAGAGAGACCAGCAACTGGGAATGTTGCTGGTGGTTACTACTGGCTCTGAAATGATGGTCAAACACTGCTCTTGCTCTTTACCCCACGTACTGTTTTAAAAAGAAGAAAGATAATGTGATCAAAGGTAATTCGAACTTGTTACTGTTGCTGTTTTTATTTTTATTTTAATATTTTATGTAATAAAAAATTACTGAAATTTGGGCCGGGCGCGGTGGCTCAAGCCTGTAATCCCAGCACTTTGGGAGGCCGAGACGGGTGGATCACGAGGTCAGGAGATCGAGACCATCCTGGCTAACACGGTGAAACCCCGTCTCTACTAAAAAAATACAAAAAAATAGCCGGGCGAGGTGGTGGGCGCCTGTAGTCCCAGCTACTCGGGAGGCTGAGGCAGGAGAATGGCGTGAACCCGGGAGGCGGAGCTTGCAGTGAGCTGAGATCCGGCCACTGCACTCCAGCCTGGGCGACAGAGCGAGACTCCGTCTCAAAAAAAAAAAAAAAAAAAAAAAAAAAAAATTACTGAAATTTGAGGATAAAAAGCAAGTCGTGAAGATTTCAACGACTGATCCATCTCTCCCTTTCAATCCCTTGAAGTAAAGATTCATCATCTAGAATTCAGACCTGCCAAGACCAAAGATGCTTTGTCTCAGGTGAAAATTTACATGAAATGTAACATTTCTAAGCCGATTGTCACCATGTTTATTGATGCCTTAAAACAAGAGCTCAGATATGGACATGGTAACCCAAAAGAAAGAGGTAAATCATTGTATTTCTCTAAGCAGAGGCTCTGAATCTAAATCAGAGGCTCTGAGGATGGAGATAAAGTTCTGCCATTTCCCTGGATTGGCTATGATTACAAACCTGTTCCACTTTAAAGGCAATTCCTGGAATTACCATGTGCCACAGTCTACACACAACTTTGCTATTTTGAATCTTTCTAGCTAAAGAGAGAGCAGAACATCGTGGTTAAGCAAGGGCTGAACATGGTTTTGCCATTCACTCAATACATGACCTTAAGCAAGTTATTCATCACCTTGTGCTTTGGTTTCCTCATTGGTAAGGTGAGAATATAACAGTATCTACCTTATAGGTTTGATGGGAGTGTTAAGTAAGACAAGCCTGTAAGGAGCTTAGGGGAGAGCTAACTGTAGTAGTTATCACTAATCCTACGTGGAAAAAATGCAAATCAAGGAGAGTTGAAACTTGTTGGAAGCAGATTGGTCCTTTTTGGGTAAAAAATATCCATAATGAACAAGAGGGATGGAGCTGGAGATTATAGGTTAAGGAACCTGAGGCTACAGTCTGCATAGTTAGATGGAATAACGTGGAAGGTTTGAGTCAGGACCTCTGGATTCAACTCCCAGCTGTGCCATTTACCAGCTATTCCCACATGAACAAATATGTTACCTCTCTGTACTTCTTGTTAACTACAAAATGCCAACAATAATACACACTTTCTATGCAGACTGTGAAAATTAAATGAATTCTAAGCATTCAATACATGTTAACTACCATCTGTCTCTTACCCTCTAAAAGCAAAATTGTTTCAGATGCTCTCAGTGACCCTCCCCCCGACCCTTCTGCCCTTTCCTCTTTAGTGCAGAATGGCTGACTGCCAACTGCCAGCTCCTGTTTCTCTTTTTAAAAGTTTTATTCAGGTTCTAAAGCACTTTGCCTTTATGGTAGGCCAAAAGTTCCTAGGAATTAATAACTTCCCATCATTCCTCTACCAATGACCAGTAAGAACTGGTAGAGGCTTTCTCCCTCACTGACTCTCAGAGGCAGTAAGTTCAGTTGCCCACAATAATAGCTGCCTGCTTGATGACACTCCGTGTAATTATTACCTTTCTTTATCTGTCTCTATTTCCCATTTTTCAATTTTTAGTTTCCAGCTATACTATTTTCACCAGGATCCTTTTCTCAGAGTCTGCTTCTGAAAGACCCAAACTAGGACACATGTGCATATGATGATAATGATGACAACGACGAAGACAGTGATGATGATGATGATATGATGATGATGATGATAGTGTGCGTTACTCACCCAAGCTTCTGCATTGCTTTTTCCCCCCAAGATTCTCATCTATATGCCCTTATCCTATAAATGATTAATTCTAATGTCTCCTCTCTCTCTTACCTTGGGTATCTTCTTTTATCCTTCTTATGGTTTCCTTGTTTCCATGGAAAAATACAAGATCTTGACAACTGCCATCACCTGGTAACCAATCATGAATCTGGTATGGACCACTTTCACCCTGTAAGTAAAATGCACTTGTTTATCTTAATTCCACCTTAAACGTATTGGTTATACTCTTGAACCTTCCAAAAAGAAGATTCCAGGCAGGCTTTTTATCTGCACTGAAAATAAGTCCCATCATTGCCACTATCATGCAGGAACCTGACAGGCAGATCCCTATCTTTCCTAAGAATATGGCTAGAAATTTAGGCCAATTAATATGTTGTACTATAAAAACTGTAACCCCAAATATATAGACAAAGAAAAATTGAACTCTCTTGTTCACATGTAACTTGGAGAGAGTAATTCCATGTAGTAGAGTGAGTAGTCTGGAGTGAATAGTCTGGGCTGGGTTTACATCTTGCCTCCTCCACTCCTAGCTGGGTAACCTTGGGGAATTTATTTAACCTACCTAAACTTTGGTCTCCCAGTTTGCAAATTGGGGATAATGAAAATAATACATACTTCACATTCTTTTTGGTAAGGATTATATATACTATATATAGTAATACTTAATACAGTGACATATAGTTAGTGTCCAGGAAATGTTAGCCCTTGTTATTCCTATTGATAATAATAATAAACAGCAATAGAATCTTGCTGAGGAACCATAAGGGACCTCATGGTACATACCGGATTTATAAATCTCAAAGCTGAAAAGAGACCACAGACATTCTGCAGCACAGAAATTCCCCAACTGAGGTCAGGTGAGGTGACCTTCTCAAAAACACAGGATTCGTTTCAACAAGGAAATGTAGTGATTGCTTACTGCATGATAGATATGATTGTTGATATTGGGTTTGTTACTGTGGGTACTACAGGCTAAGAGGAGAGCTAGTTTTTGGAACACAAAAAGGCTATAATTTCAGGCAGAATCTGTTTATTGGGATCTAGCAGGTGTCCACGAATAATACCTAACTCCAGCTGAAAATAGAAAATGATTTCTCTTTCCCAGGCCAAGAATATTTCCAGGAACCAATCTACTTTGGAAGGGGAAGTGGGGCTTCTTGGATAAAGTTTCCTGGAGAGAAAAGGAGTTCTAATTAGTATGGGCACTAAGGTGAGGGTAGATAGAAACAGAGAAGGGAGTAGCATGCTTCTGTCTGGTCACCCTCAGTGGGTTGATATCTTGATCAGCTGGTTGGTCAGTTCCTCGGACAGAATGAGGATCCACAACATGTAGACCATATCACTGCCTAGGAAACACACAGTGGTGCTTGCCCTAGGAATTTCTGCCCTTTCTTTCCAAGACCCCACATTGGAGGCTGTATCCAGAGTGAACTACTGAAATTATTTTAGAACTTTTAACCCAAATAAAGCTGGGCTGCATTGTGTCCTATTTTAGAAACAGTACTTCTTTCTAAAGAAATGTCATCCTGGCAAAAAAAAAAAAAAAAAAAAAAAACCCAACCAACCAACCAACCAACCAAACAAAAAACCTTGCGGAGCAATATAGTTCTTCACTGGAATCTTTGGAAAGGACAACTTATGGGAAATTCCACTTCTTGCCATAGAGTAAAATGCCCTGATGCACCACAAATTGCTCTTCTCTCTTTTGCCTGTACTTTTTATCAGTCTCAAACCTCCAGGTTTTTCTTTCTGTCTCATATTGATCTTCCTATCCCCTGACTTTCTGACTCTAAAGATAACAGTGTTATGGTACACACCATGATCTCTGAAACCAAATTGGCTAATTAGCTTTGAAGCCCGGCACTATTATGGTTTGTTTGTGGCCTTGGAGAAGTTGCCCAACACCGGTTGACGTATATTATATTAACTTTTACCTTGTGCCAGGCAGGTATTAAGTAACTAGCCCAAAGTTACTTAACTAGCTAGTGATAGAGCCAGGACCTGGCTCAAGTAGCTTGACTCCAAATCTCACGTTTTTTATTTTATTTTATTTTTTAGTGGAATCTTCCTCTGTCGCCCAGGCTGGCACAGTGCAATGGTATGATCTCGGCTCACTGCAACCTCCGCCTCCTGGGTTCAAGTAATACTCCTGCGTCAGCCTCCTGAGTAGCTGGGATTACAGATGCATGCCACCACACCCAGCTAATTTTTTTTTTTTTTTTGTATTTTTAGTAAAGACAGGGTTTCACTATGTTGACCAGGCTGGTCTTGAACTCCTGACCTCAAGCAATCCTCCCACCTTGGCCTCCCAAAGTGCTGGGATTACAGGCGTGAGCCACCATGCTTGGCCCAAAGCCCAGATTCTTGAGGACTATGCTGTTCTGCTATGTTATGCCTGAGTTTTCTCATCTTTAAGATGGGGATAATAATACTGCTTCATGGCAGGAAAAATAATGTACTGGGGAGTGTTAAGGCTATAAATGTATTAATTCCCTTCTGACATCAAATGATTTTCATGGTTGCATTTTACTGAGTCAACTAAAATTCGGAGACATTAAGTTACTTTTTTGTAGTCTCCCTGGTAAGTTGCTGAACAGAGCTGGGCTTAAATTTAAATCTACACTATTTCTAGTTGAGGCATTCAAACTCATACTCAGCCATCTGAGGATGATGTAATATTGGGTGTGTGATTTTTACCTTCCTGGGCCTCAGTTTTCTCACCTTCAAATTTAGGGTGTTCACCTCACAACCCATGATAATTATAAAAATTAGATATAAAAATGTAATGTGTAGACCTTCCAATGGCATGGAAATGTTACGTGTAGTATTGTTAAGTATTATTGGGACTTTCTAGAAGTGTTTGCCTAAGTTGCGTGGAGCTGGGGAATAAACAAAGTTTCATGGAAACAGCAGACACGTCGAAATCACCCAAGGACACCACAGATGGCCATTCAGCCTACTGGGGGATCTAGTAAGAGAACTTACTGAGGAGAAGTTAGAGGGGAGGCTGCTAAGGTACCTGAGACCAGAGACACAGGAAAATTAGCTGTTCTCGCTGCACATGTGGGTATGGGAGGAGAATCCCTGTTCTGCTGGAACAATAGTGCTTCAGAGAGGCTACTACTCATGGTGAAGAAGGAAACTTTAACAGTGAGGTCATGAAGACCACAATCACCTACACATCCAATCTTCCCTTATCCCCTGTCCTAACAGAATCACCGTACTTGCCTTTCCTTTGAATGTGGGTTGCCTCAGGCATTTGTTCAACAAATATTTGTTAAGCACCTATGATGTGACAGACATTATTCCAAAGCATACAGGCAAGATTTCTGCTTTTATAGTATCTGTGTCCTGATATAGGGAGGCAGGAGGGGAGACTAAAATAAACAAATGAAGGATATGATTATTTTGTCTGCTAAAGACTGTGAAGAAAATAAACATCTGATTGCTTATCAAAATCATCTTTGGTCATAGATCATGATATACTTTTGCCAAATAACCTCAAGGTGCTCAAAGAATTGAGTGGCATTCCTATATAGTTTCTCAGCACGTGCAACTATAAAAAATTGGGAAAAACCCAAGCAAATATAATCAATACTGTTCCTGTTTCATTTTAGTAACAAATACATTTTATATAAACTTAAACTAAGAGGGTTAAAAAATTTTCCATCTTTCTAATTAAAAAATGCATTTCCAATTATAGTACACTTTTTTGGTTAGCAATTATTTATAAATTGTGTATTAATAATATTTGTAAATATCACTCAATCCAAAACACATTTTAACCTTCAGGATCTTAGAGTCATGGAAAAAAATTTTTAAAGAGGCTTAATTTATATTCTTTTTTTTGTGAAGATCAATAAAATGCTCTTAGGAATAAAATATATTGCATTACAACAAAATTTTGTGAGCAATATGAAATGAAAATATGGTTTCCAGAAAAGAGGACAAACATAAAATTTCTAACTATTAGCAAAGTGCATACCACAACTTTTGGCTGGATTACTGTGAGAATCAAGTTGCAATGGAATCAGATTTCAAAGGGATACAAATAGAATAATTAACTAACTGTTTTATTTTAAATGTGAATATTTTAATACACCGGGGATTACATTTTTTATGACATAGGATAAATTTTTAGATGATAACTTAAAAATATCTGAGGGGTATACACATTTGCAAAATTCTTTTAGAGAGTGTGTAAGATTTGAATATCACGTGTGTAATCTTTAGACTGCACTATACTTAGAGGCCTCTAGATGGAGTCTCTCCTCACATGTTGCCCCAGTTCCACAAGAATAACTTGGAAGGGTGGAGAGCTCTCATTTGCATTAACTGCTCCACAAATTATTAAAAAGGCCTTGATGGGAAGCTCACTGGAAGGAAAATGTGGCATAGTGGAAATAGCAGTAGATTTTGCTCAGTATTAGTTTTCCTGATTCTTCTCTTAACTAGTTCATTGGCTCTCTGAGCCTCAGTTTCCTCATTTGAATTATGAGTGGTAGGATACATTCATATAAAGAACACAGACTCTGGGATTGGACTGTCTGAGCTCAAATTTCAGCTTTGCTACTTACCATCTGGGTGACCTGATATGTTTTTGATATCTCAGGGCTTTCTGTCTGTCATCTAATAACCTTAATAGGAATGATAGTAGTACCTATTGAATAGAGTTGTTGTGATGATTAACCAAATTAACATCTATAAAGTGCTTTGAATAGTGCCTAGCACATAGATATAGTTATTACTTATTACCCTAACTATTAATATTACTATAACCATTAACATGGCTTTTGAAAAAATGAAAATGAACAATGCATGGGAAATGCTTTAAACCCCATGGCTGCTACACAACTAAAAGAAATGCTAACAAATCACATTAGCTATGGTGCTTTCAGCAGCAAATTACAAAAACAGAAACAAAACTAAACTGGGTTTAACCTATGAGGAGATTTATTATTTCCTATAACAATAAGCCCATATATGTGACAGTAAGCCCACATATGTGACATATATATCAGTGTTATAATTCCAGGCTCTGCCCCATGAGGTGTTGTCTTTGTGCTCACAGTGTCTTCCCTCTCACTCACAAGACAGCTACTACTGGAAGCTGAAGCCAGGTACTTCCTTTTTCCCTTCCATCTAATTGGCCAACATAAGTCAGGTGCTCACCTCTGCATCACAAATATTTCTTAAGGAAGTTCCATGCACTGATTGCCTTAATCCCGGTGTCTGAACTGACCACTGGTCCATGGGATACTGTGACTAGGTTAGGACAATCAAGATTCAGACCCTGGAACTGGAGATGTGAGTCACGCGTCTGTCAGTGTCCCAGCAGGGAGCAGACAACACATTGAAACTAGTTTAATGAGAATTTAATAAAGTGACTATAAAGCTGTGGTCAAAGTTTAGGGAACTCAGCAAGGGATGGTGCAGTGTCCAGGGCTGGCAACAACAGGAACCAATACTGCCCTCAGCCTGAGGATTAGGGGGCTGTTATTAAAACACAAGTGCCAAGAATCAGATAGGGAGGGTTGCCCAAGAGGTTCTTTGTGCATTCATAGAGGGATGCTGTCAACTTGCAACTACCTAGGAAAAAATGAAACCAGAAGAATAGATACCCACCCTCACTCTGAAAGCCACGTGCAAGGAAGCCATTAATGCCATCAATGCACACCCATCACCAGATCAGGCACTCAGATTCTAGGTCACACTGGAGAAGGATAAGCAAATGGAATTATGAGCATAAATGGACATTGAATACACATGAGCTGTACAGAGGAGGGCACAGATACCTAAACAAAATCATATCCTGTTAGGAAAGAGGAAGAGGAATGCTCGTTAGACGTCTAACACAATTCACTATAAGTATTCTTTTTCAAAATAAGATTGTTCTGTTTTGGTTTTAAATATAAATTATCTACAATTGAAGATATCTTTAATTTTTAAGTAAAATTCCTCCTCAAAGGAGAGGCACAAAAAGATAATAAAAAAAGCTGAACTGTCACTTCTTGATGAGAGATTCAGGGAAAGATGGATGTCTTGACCTTTCAGGGAAAAGTGAAGAAATCCATTCCCAGAAGGGATTGCAAAGGGAAGTGGCTGTTCCCTTGATAAGGCCAAAGAGGGCAAGCCTAATGAGGCCTAAGCCAGTTACATGGTGTAATTTACTGAATGGTGTTGGCTGCCTTGCAACGTTTCAAGGCAATCTTTTTGCAACACATGATTAGTAGGAAAAAGAGATTTGGATTTTGCCATTTTCCAAAGGAAATTTGACTACATTTAGTAATACAGAAAAATGTTCTCTTTGGAAAGGCTCATATTTCTATGCAAAGTGGTGTCCCAAGTCAGAATTTACACAATGTATTATTGCATAGTGTATGAGGATCAGCTAATTAGTTCTGAACTAAATGTCAAGATAAACAAACCCAACCTCTAAAGAACTCCAAGAAGCTCTGTGACTAAGTGTCACCATCAAGGACAAGAAGAGTCTACACCAGTGATTCTCAACACTGGCTACGTATTAGAACTTTTTGGGAGATTTGAAAATTTTCTGGGCCCAGCTTCCACCCAGAGCAATTAAATAGGAGTCTCCTTCAGTAAGGTACAGGCATTGGTACTTTTTAAAAAGCTCTCCAAGTGATCCTCATCTGCTTCCAGGGTTGAGAAGCTCTGGTCTATAGGACGTCTGTATTTCCAGTAGATGCAGCATGCTCAAATCAATCAGATCAGTTGCTGTGCTGATGTGTCAATTCAGTCCAAGTAGCCATGTTAGCATGTAGAGCCTATGACTGTTTTGCTGTGTCTTTTAGCCAGATATTGAGCCAGCACAATAGAGTGGTTAAAAAGGAGGGCTGCCTGGGGTCAAATTCTGCATCCACTCATGGGTTATGTGACTTTGGAAAAGTCACTTAACTCTTTTGAGGCTTAGTTCCATCATCTGTAAGATGGGGGCAATGGTAGGAAATACAACACAGATTGTGCTGAGTATTGACTTAGAAAATATTTATGGAAGTCTTAGAGCAGTGCCCATCACAGAGTGAGTCCTCACTAAATGTAGTCACGTGTCTAGATTTAAGCCAACTGGAAGTCCCAGGAGGATCCCTACACCTTGCCCACTGGCTTTGTAGAGTTCTGTCTGGCAGGGGGTTGGGGAGGAGAGGTTGTTGAAGTAACTGGATATTTTGGCCCCTCCCAATCCAGAATATATGCATCTATGAGATGCTTTGGAGTATTTCTGCATGACAGGTAAGGACTTTAAGAATGAAAACGACTACTATTTCTGCCAATAATTGTCACCGTTTATTGATTGCATCAGGTACCCTGTCAGACAGTTTCCATCTTCTCATAATCTTCACAAGAATCCTACAGAAACAAGATGTACACCCTGATTTACAGATGATGATCCTTCAGCCCAGAGATGGTGAGTAACTTTCCCAAGGTCATCCAGCTAATAAATGACCAAATTGGGATTTAAACCCAGGTGTCTCTCGCTTCAGACCTCATGCTTTTTAAACAAAGCCATGTTGCCTGCCTTCAATGACATTCTCCAACCTTAGGACTGTGGTAATTTCTTATCTTAGGGGGAAAACAAACAAAAAAAACCCCTAAAACAAAATCTCTGGCTGAACAAATGGGACGTGTCCTAAAGATGGAGCCTTCTCAGCAAATCTCTTCCTTTCTAGGTACCACAGGTCTAGAGAACAGAAGTTAAGGGCAGACATTGTGGAACTGGCTTTGGGCCGTGAAGAGTAAGTAAACCCGTTATGTAGTATTCTGGGATCCAGAGCCTTCCCTGGAAGGGGACATTTTTAAAGGGAATATTTTTCATCATGCAGGGTGGGCCAGCAGGTAATGTTGCTCCATGAAGAGAGGGCAGTGTCTGCCTTTGGTGCTCCTCTGAAGATGGGCTCTCTTTACTGATGGGTTCAGTGGTTGGGAGTGATCAGTGGGCGGAAGGCTGCTCACAGCCCATCTCTTAAGAAGTTAACATAAGTCAATCCATACAATTAGTTCAGAAACCCACTACCTACCTACTCCTGGGAAGGCTACCAGAACTATTATAATCTCACTTTCTTCTGGCCCAAATGGAGATAGATACTTGGTCACACGTGCATCTTTACTGAGTTTAAAAGTGCTTATGTGAAGTATCTTACAAACATAACATTTTTAATCACATTTATAAAAATATATTTAATGAACTCATCACAATGACAAAATGTCGATAATAATAGCCTAGGTTTGTTGTTTTTTTTTAATGTGCCAAGCTTTACATATATTAACCCACTTAAGCCTTACTATAACTCTATGAAGTATTGACCTATTTTTTCAGCTGAGGAAAGTGTAGCCCAGAGATGCTGAGTAATTGCGTGATGGATTGTGTGGTATTTCTCTATTATCTATCAGGACCCAACAGGAACAGAAGGAATACTCAAATTGACTAAACTGGGAGGAATTCATTATGGGGACTGGATACAAGCAATGGGCAAGTCGTAAAAAAATATATATATATAAAAGGAATAGGCAAAGCCCCACCCCTAAGCTTAAATGGAAAGAAAGAACTTTAACAGTAGCTGTTACATTGAGTAGAGGGAGGTAGCCAGGCCACATGGCCCAGCAGGGAGGCAGCTAGGGGAATAAATATGCCAATCACTCCCCTCTTTCCCTCTGATCTCCTGCAGCACTCTCCATCGGCTGAACCCAACTGGAAGTCAGAGGGCAAAGGGTCCATGACTCAGTCCATTCAGGCTGACCCGCCTGGGACTCAGAGCAGAGCAGACAAGGGTGGGGAAGGAAAACTAATGCACTTGGAGAAGCAAACGGGAAATATTCAGGCACATCTGACATCAGTTTGGCCAATCAGCTCCCCTCTCTCTGACTGTGAACACAGAGATACAGAAACTGTCATTAGAAATGAATAATGTTAATGATCCATGACAGAAAGCTCGTGAATTTAGCTTGTGAATTTCTGCTGCTGAGGAGGCTTGAGCTGCTTTCATTCCTTCTACACATCGGGATGGGAACTCCCCAGTGCCTTTCTGATACATGGTTACTTCTGCTTCACCTAATCAAAGGCACTTACTGCCGCTCAAAACCTGAGGCCTCCAACTGAACAATGCCCAGGTTTTCTCTCCGTCACCTCCTGTTCTCTAGTATGAGTAGTTAGATTACTGCTTTTATGTCTGTCTTCCCAACTACAGTCCACAAAATGGCTCATATTTAACAGTAATACAAATAAAGAGAAAAAGGAGAGAAGACAAGAACAAAAAGTAATGATTTTAGAAACTTGGAAAGTAGAAACTTCTTTGGTATGCTGCTGTTGAAAACCACTGGTCTCACCTTCCACTTTCTCACATTGCTGTTTCAGAGAAAAACTCAGTTATACTTAATTATAGGGCTGTAATTTTTATAGGGTTGGTTATTCTGGTTAGCCAAACTTACTGGTTATCTGTTGAGAGCCTTTTAATTTTAATTCTAGCTGACACATTTGTTAAAATATTATTAGCTTTCCTTTCTTCCTTAATGAGTACTGAATCTTCCCGGAGAAAAAGCTCCCAGTCATTTACCTGGAATTTTTATACATATTTGCAGCAGTTCTTTGAGCTCCCTAAAGAACGTAATTAGAAACATAACATTCACTCAGATTTTCTGCCCTTCTTTGTAATAAGTCAATGAGCCAGTCATTTATTCCACAAATATTTGTTGATACCTATTGCGTGCCTGTCTCAGCAGTTCTCCGAGCAGGGGCTACAAAAATACAAAGACTGTCTTTTCATGAGGAGCAACTTGGAGTCTTAGCTCTTGGTACTCCCTCTGTCTAGTAATATCCCTTTTTATACTTAGTATTTTAATAAATAACTCTTCCTCAAATTATTTTAAAACACATAGTAACAGAAAAAAATTATTTATTTATTCTACTTTCTCTTAATTACCCCTGTGGGGAGCTTGGCAGGGCAGACTCTGGGTTTCCAGCCAAGGTCTTTCTGTCCACCTGGGGGCAGCAGACCCTCACACAGAAAAGTACCTTGAAGGAAGCAATTGGCTTTCTGAGCTCCTGACTTTCAAACACAAGTCTTCAAAATTGTGGATCCATGAATATTCTAAAGACTTATACTCGAAAGATGCTTCCAAAATCAAATAAATTTGGGTTGAACCAAGTTCAATAGGTTTAAACCCTGCAGGACTTCTCACAATGTTTAATATACTTTTTTTCTTTTCTTTTTTCTTTTTTAGACAGTCTCACTCTATTGCCAGGCTGGAGTGCAGTGGCGTGATCTTGGCTCACTGCAACCTCCGCCTCCCAGGTTCAAGTGATTCTCCTGCCTCAGCCTCCCGAATAGCTGGGAGTACAGGTGCCCAGCGCCACGCCCAGCTAATTTTTTTATTTTTAGTAGAGATGGGGTTTCACCATGCTGGCCAATCTGGTCTCGAACTCCTGACTTCAGGTGATCCACCCGCGTTAGCCTCCCAAAGTGCTGAGATTACAGGTGTGAGACACTGCGTTCGGCCTAATATACTTTTGTTGTACAAAGCAAGATGGCATACTTGCTCTGTGACTGGCTCTGTGCAAAGTACATTACCCACAGTGGCCTATTTAAACTTGGCAATAACCCTATGAGATAGGCACTAATTGTGTTCCCCATTTTACAAATGAAGAAACAGAGGCACAGAGCTTGTAAGTGGTGGCTGAGTTTGCGGTTTGGGCCATCTGGTTACAGAACTTGCATGTTTAATCATGACACCATAATGCTGTGGAATGGGAAAGTCCAAGAGGGGGAATTTGACATTCAGTGTTTCCTAAATTTATTTCTTCTAATTGACATCAAGGACAAGTATGTAATGGGGTACTCTGATAAATGCTTCAATAAAGCAATGGCTTTATGCCACCCCTCTTTAAAATATAACTAAAAATGTAAGTCCACAGGCCCATCATATAATTGAACAGGTAATGACTGAATTTTGATTTGATGGGAAGACTCTTATCATGTTAATCTAAGTTCTCAAAGTGAATGCCACTAAACCAAGACTCTTCAGTGTATTTGAAGTATGTACAATACCAGTCAGAACTGGGACTTCTCAGGAAGAAAAAAGGGTATATGGCACACAGGTAAGAATAGAAAGCCACAGGTCTAGCAGGGAAGATAAATATGGTGTGGAATATGTTGGGGAGATGGAAAAAATGCTCACTTGTTCATGGAAGTTCGAAAATAAGACTGAGATTCTAAATAATGCTGGAGTATTGCAGCTGGAACAAGCATGACACCTATGGCCAACTCAAGGCCTTTTTAGCATAAATCTAAAACAATTAAGGGATAATATGCCAGCGGGTTGATGCCAGGTAATACTGATGGTTACCTTAAACAATATTTTCTAAGCTTCGGTTTTTTACATACCAACTTCATGATTTTTTTCTATCAAGATACCACTACTATTATTTATCTAGCATTTTAAAAATTGTCTTATATCTTTGCTTAAATTTATTTTTAAACCTTAATATCTGAGAATTCATGATTTTGAAGGAACAATTATATTGTTCTAATATATAAATTTTAAAGTTAACATCTTTATTCCATCTAAAGTGTTATGTGTACTATTCTTTGGAAATCATTTTCTAAAGGATTAAAAACTTGCAAATGTTGGAAAAAAAGGAAAAGGGAGAATTAAGACTGAGTTAAAGAAGGTGAAAACAAAGTTGAAGAATAAGAATAAAGGTTAGACATGAAATATACTTGTCTCTAATTTGAGGTACAGCGTGAAATTCTTTTTGTAGATTGTTCTAAAAATATCAGTTGTTCTTTTCCTTGTATTTTAATTGAATGATTAAATAAACAGATGACCTAGTTTCATTAACAGTATCTTTTTCTTAGTTGTGTCTGATAACTGCAACAAAAGTATCAAATACTCCTCATATAAATTATCAAATCAAAAGGTTACTCATTATATGGAATGTTTTGTTTATAACCATCTGCATTGCAGCTTTGAGTTAACATTAGCTTGGCTGGCTTTTATTTTTATTTTTTTGAGACAGAGTCTCACTCTGTCACTCAAGCTGGAGTGTGGTGGCACAATCACAGCTCACTGCAACCTCAACTTCCTAGACTCAGCCTCTCAAGCAGCTGGGACCACAGGTGCCTGCCACCATACCTGGCTAATTTTTTGTTATTATTTGTAGAGATGAGGGTCTCCCTGTGTTGTCCAGGCTGGTCTCAAACTCCTGGGCTGAAGTGATCCTCCCACCTTAGCCTCCCATAGTGCTGGGATTACAGGTGTGAGCTGCTGCACCTGGCCTTGGGTGACATTTTAGAAATCAGCTTTGAATTTTTAAAAACTCATCTTGTGCTTCCAATAAGGAAAAGACATATTAATGTACTACAAAGTTCACTTTATTAAAGAATATTTCATCATTCCATTGATTACCCATGGCACCAAACATTCTTCCATATTGACATTAGACATAGAAATTGAAACACAGATGACTAAACCTGTTTCAACAAAATGTGAATCAACAGATTATTTGATAAGAGCAAGAGACATCCCCTACAGCAGTACTCTCCACATAACTTTCCATGATGATGGTAATATTCCACACCTGCACTGTCTAATTCAATAGCTTCTAGTTACATGTGATCACTGAGCACTTGAAATGTCTCTAGTATGCCTAAATAACTGAGTTTTTATTTTATTTTATTTTATTTTAATTCATCTAAATTTAAGTGTAAATGACCATGGGTGGCCAGTGGCCTACACAATGAAATGTGGAGCCCTGTAGGGTAGCATACCTTTTGCTCAGGATCCTATCTTTTAAAGAGGGTTTGGAGAAAATTCATTCACATTTGACTCCTTTTTTTAATAGAGGAAGTCTCATTTATGCCTATATTTTAATAAAATGGCTTCAACATTCTGTTTGATAATTAGTCTTCTAATTGGTCATGATCAATATATTTACACAATGTCTTTCTTTGTGTTTTCTTTTTCTCTACTTTCTAAGTGTAGATCCCATGATGGATAATGGGTAATAAGTCCACGGGCCGACAGGCAATAAGAATTGGATGGAATGGTGAGACTCTGTCTCAAAAAAAAAAAAAAAGAATTGAATGAAATGAAATGGATGGTATATAAGATCCTAGAGGTTAAGCTGCTTATATTCCCATCAAGCTAACTCCTAACTAGTTTTATTGCCTGTTAAAATACTCTCTTAGACAAACAAAAGTAGAGCAATTCCAACTATTAGAAAAACTAAAGACATATTATCTAGGACCTAAGTTTTTAAAGGCCTTCTAGAAATGTTTGAACCTTAGGAAAAAACTGCTTTGGTTCCAAAACATAAAAAGAAAATTACAGAATCAGAAGTAACATTTAATTAGATAACTACAAAATGTAACATGTTAACCAACCAACTGCAGTTTCGCTATTTTGTAGCTAATTTCAATTATATTTAATTTGGAATGTGAAACATGGTTGACATTAACATGCTTGATAGATTTTACGGCCCTACAATAAAAAGACTGCTTAAAGTGCTGAAGAAAATGGCAATAACACACCCTTCTGGAAGCCATATGAAGTCACCAAGCTGCCAGCTTGCAAGCCCCAAATGATGTGTTCATTGCCTAGTTAAGTCATGTCCAAGAAGGTCAAATGATAAGTTCCCATAGTTGCATAGAGGTGTGTCCTGACTAGAATTTTTATCTCTTACCTCCCATATGAGGGCTTTTGCACCCAATGTCATGCAAAGGCCCTGAATCACCTGCATCTGGTTCATCAGGATGCTTGCTAAAATCCAGATTCACAGGCCATACCTCACGTCCACTGAATTAGAACCTCTGGGCTTCAAATCCAGGAATCTGCATTCTGCCCCACACAATGCTAACTATCATTTTACCTCTTTCTGGTGACATACTTAGCTAGATGGCTCTAGTCACTTCAGCTAGGCAATTTGTTTTCAGTGAGTTGATTAATTGGATTCCATTGACCTGTTGACCCAATGTGGATATAACAGGTCCAAAAGTGGTTTCTTTTTTTTTAAATGACCCTAAAATGGAGAAACAATAATACTTGGATTCTTCCTCACCAATGCCATGGGATCAAACATTCCAAAGCTCTCTTAGAAGAACTGTGGAGACAAAATGCCAGGAGACAACTGTGAAGGAAGTACTGAGGACAGACATGGAAAAGCTCGCTTGGTAAAAGCTCAGGGATAACCATAGCAGCCACCCAAGATTTTGTTCTCTCTGCTTCTCTGGCTTCTTTTCCTATATGTTAGGTCAAAATGGTGGGCGTATGGATGTTCTACATCTGTCAGTGCCAGGCACTGTCCTAGGTGCTGAGGAATCTAGGATGAGCAAGTTAGACTCAGTCCTTGTCTTAAATTTGCTTATAGTGTAGCTCAGGAAGAGGCAAACTAGGCTTTAATCCCAGCCTTGTCACTCACGTGCCGTGTGACCTTAGGTAAGCCACTTCACCTCCATGCATTTCTGCTTTCTTATTTTAACTTCTCATTCATCACAGCCCCTACAGGAGCATCTGTGGCCTTAGAAAGTCAGTGGGGTTACCATCTACATTGATAATTCATGAGTGTGTGTGACTGTCTTCCCATTAGCCAATTCTTGTTTGTGGAGAGTTAGGCCATGCCAGCCCAGTGAAAAGGCTGTCTTCTCCTTCTGACCCCACCCAGGGGCCCCTGGGGCCAATTACATCAACCTTTTCAGAATTTGCTCTCCAAATTAGCTCGTGTGTGCTCTGGCTGTGTGAGAGGGTCACATTCATTACCTCATGGATATGAGGGCTCCAGCAAAGCCCCAGGGGAGCTGTGTAGCCCATGACAACCTCCTCCAAACGCTTTCCGAGGAGCTGCAGCAGGATGCCTCCCCCCTGCAGTGCCTCAGGTCCATACGAAGAGAAAAATGATCCCAGAGTCAAAAGATTCACTCCCAAAACAGTCCAGGGCTAAGGAAAACCATGAGGGAGAGCTGAGGGAAGAAGGAGATGAAGATACAGAAAAAAGTGACCTCTGTGGCTATTAAGGGAAAACGCTAATTGTTTCAATCACAAGCCTAGCCAAGTCTGGCAAATTCTGATAGAGGCATCATTCACATTCACGTTTAACATTCACGTTTAATCTGGGGTTTCCAATTGCTAAATTAGTTCAGAGTACACACTCTGGGAGAGCGTACACATATCAGTCAATTTGACTAACATGTAATGAGTACCTATTATGTGCTTGACATCATTATGTGTGTTTTGAATGCAGTGGTG